AAAGCTCCTATAAACATCTGTAGGCAGGTTTTTGGATGGACATACTCTTATTTTTATATCTCTATTTTCTAATTTTTCTACAATGAACACTTTCTTCAATTTGTAATATTAAAAAAATTCTTCCTTGAAGAAATGTGGAAAGCCTTAACTCAATGTTTGATTTAGCTGGCTGGAAGTTCAAATAGTTAAGATTTATTACTTTAAGAAAAATACTCTGGCTTTAAAGTAGAGATGAGATTAATTTGTGTTTAATGAGCTCTTACTTGGATGTCAAAAAATGATCACAATAAAAATCAAACAGATTAGTTACTCTGTGTATGGCTCTGTGCTTATAAGTCCTTACCAAGAATTATCTCATTTATGCATGATCTCACTTATCTGTGGAATCTAAAACAAAAACAAACAAACAAACAAAAAAAAACCTAACAGAAACAGAGAACAAATTGGTGGTTGTCAGATGAGGAGGTGGGTGGGGTAGTGGGGTGGATGATGGGTAGGAGGGGAATGGATGAAGGTGGTCAAAAAGTACATACTTCCAGTTATAAGGTAAATAAGTTCTGGGGATGTGATGTACTTCGTGGTGACTCTACACAGTTACCAGTATTGTATATTTGAAAGTTGCTAAGAGATACATCTTAAAAGTTCTCACCACAGGAAAAAAAATTATAACTATATAAGGTGACCAATGTTAACTAAATTTATTGTGGAAATCAGTTTGCAATAGATACATATATCAAACCATTATGTTGTATACCTTAAACAAATACAATGTTATATGTCAATTATATCGCAAGAAAAGTGGTTAGGGGGAAGAATTATCATTTAATTCTCAAAGGAAGGGAGGGGCCCTAAGTCCTGGTGATGGTGTTTTTAATATTAAGCTGTGTTGGGCTTCCATAAATTCTTCTCAATCAACACTTATTTACTAACAAGAATTTAGAAAGGAGTAGAGGTGGGCTTTCAAATGTATTTTTTAAAATTTTGTTTGTCTATTTGGTTTTTACTTGTTCGCTTCTCTACTTCTATATGTCCAGATTCTATCTCTCTTCTAAAAGCCAACTAAGATAAGAAATTGTACGTTTATCCACATAAATTATATTGTGATCCTCATCATGTAGATTATTTGCTATGTTTAGTATGTGACTTTGCTACTATAATTTTAACAATTCTTTGACTTACAAATCCAGGAAAAATAGTGTATATTAACCACATCCATTTGTATAGATTTCCCACCAAATTGAAAAGACTCTCTATGCAGCTGCTTCCCACTAGCTATCTATTTTACATTTGGTAGTGTATATATGTCAATGCTACTCTCTCACTTCGTCCCAGCTTACCCCTCCCCCCTCCCCGTATCCTCAAGTCCATTCTCTAGTAGGTCTGTGTCTCCAATAGATGTAAAAAAAAAAAAAAAAAAAAAAGAATCTCTAGAAGAAAACAAGAGTAACAACTCTCATACTTTGCTGAAGGGACCATAGATTGATTGGTACAACCACTTGGAAAACCAGTTTGACAGTATCTACAAAATATGCACGCTTTATAACCTAGCAGTTCCACTCCTAGATATACACACTAAAGTAACACTTGCATAAATGTACATGTTCAAGAATGTTCAAAATGGCATGCATAGCTCATGATAGCCAAAAACTAGAAACAACCTTAATGTCCATTGACAACAGAATCAATTAATAACTATATTCATACATCAAAAATAAATTATCTATAGCATTGCACAATAATATGGTTGAATTTTAAATGTAGATTGAAAGAAGCCAAAAACAAAAGAATATATAATGTATGATTCTATTTATAGAGTTCAAAAGCGAGCAAAATAAACCATAGCATTTAGGGGTGCATACTTAGAGGGCAAAGCAAAAAAAAAAAAGCAAGCAGATCAGTAGTTACTGTTTTTTTTTTTTTTTAAATTATTTAATTTTTGGCCGCGTTGGGTCTTCATTGCTGCTTACGGGCTTTCTGTGGTTGCAGCGAGCGGGGCTACTCTACCTTGCCGTACGCAGGTTTCTCATTGCGGTGGGCTCTAGGCGTGTGAGCTCAGTAGTTGTGGCTCGCGGGCTCTAGAGCACAAGCTCAGTAGTTGTGGCACACAAGCTTAGTTGCTCCACAGCATGTGGGCTCTTCCCAGGCCAGGGCTCGAACCCGTATGCCCTGAGTTGGCGGGTGGATTCTTAACCACTGCGCCACCAGGGAAGTCCTTCATAGTTATTTCTTAAGGAAAGGTATTAAGGGAGGGACACAGGCAGGATTTCTAGGCACTTAAATGTCCCTTCTTTGGTGTTTACATGAGAGTTTTATGATTTAATTTATATATTTATATTTTATGCACTTTTCTGTATGTGTAATATTTCTAGTAAAAAAATGTTAAAGAAGAGAAAGACCAAAGGCTCAGTCTCAAAATAAACACTGGAAGCATATGATCAGCAACAATTTAATGAGGCCATAGCAGTTACAGGATTATCAAATGGGTACAGTATAAAACCTGTCATAAAATTAGTAAGAGATGTAAGATAGAACACACTTCAATACTGGTACAACGGTAATAGCAGCTTTACAAATGTTTATCTATAGGATTTCTATAGTTTTTTTTAAATGAACCTTTATCTCACAAGAATGATCAAATCATTTAAAATAAATTGATACAGTACACAGTGGTTTATTAATATTATAAACATTATAAATGTCCCAGAAAATATTTACAAATACTCACTGGCTTTATTCTCAGTGATTATTCCCTTTAATTTCACTTAATATAAACATAGTAGCAGGTTTAAAAAAATTATTAGGAACAGATATATTTCTTTTTTATATATACATTTATTTATTTTTGTCTGCATTGGGTCTTCGTTGCTGTGCACAGGCTTTCTCTAGTTGTGGCGAGCGGGGGCTACTCTTCATTGCACTGCGTGGCTTCTCGCTGCGGAGCACGGACTCTAGGCACGCGGGCTTCAGTAGTTGTGGCTCGCGGGCTCTAGAGCGCAGGCTCAGTAGTTGTGGCACATGGGCTTAGTTGCTCCGTGGCACGTGGGATCTTCCCGGACCAGGGCTCGAACCCGTGACCCTTATATTGGCAGGCGGATTCTTAACCACCGAGCCACCAGGGAATCCCAGAAACAGATATATTTCTTAACTTCCATTATCTGTTTAATTTGCACCCATAAATGTAAATATAAATGTGGGTCTCATGAAAAAAAGAACACTGTCCCCACGTCTGCCTTCCAGTTTGGTGACTTTCCACAACACTGTATTTGGCATCTCAAAGCTATATTTATCTGAGGAAATATAGGCATTTTGGGGAAATTGCTAAAATAACTTTCTAGCCTGAGACAACCAGGGGATATTTCAGAGATATCATCTTATGTAGCTGTTTCCTGTTGGGCTAGAAAGTTCAGTGACAAACTGCCACTCCTTGTTTCCCCTCCATGAGGAGCTGCTATCCTTATTCTTGGAACTGCAGTGGAAGTTATCAGCATCAAAGCTAATTCTGTGCCTTCAGAGTCACACTTACCCTAATGAGTGTTCCTCTTCCTCCATGATATTTATCGCATTAGTGATTAGGGGTCCTGGCTGAAGCTAGAGTAGTGTCTACTGCTAAGTAGACATGTCTGACAAACTGGGGGCTCCCAGAAATTGGCAACTTTGTAGAAGACTGACTGATAGGGTCGCCAAATAAAATATAGGATGTTCAGTTGAATTTGAATTTCAGATAAACAACGAATAATTTTTTAGTATAAATATGTCCCATGCAATATTGGGGACATATTTAAACTTCAAAAAATTATTCATTGTTTAATGGGACATATTTATACTTAAAAGTTATTTGTTTTTTATCTGAAATTAGACTTTGATGGGGTGTCATGTGTTTATATTTGCTAAATCTGTCAACCCTGTACTGTCAGGAAAAAGCAAAATCCAGTGAGGTGTGCATGATTACTGTTATTGAATCAATAGGTGGATGAGGACAGGGAATCAGATCTCACAGTGAACCTGCTATGGACTTCAGAGAATCCTTGGTGGGGCACTGTGGAAAACACAAGGTTCCTGTTGAGGTCTTCATGAAATTTATATTTAGCGTCATGAATGTGGATAGCAGATATCAAAGTGAGGAATATCTCAGACTTCAGTAAGCCAGATATAACTACCTACCTAAGATGCTAGAAATGATATTCTAATTTTTTAAAAAACCATTTATTTATTGTTTTGGTTACACTGGGTCTTAGTTGCAGCAGGCAGGCTCCTTAGCTGTGGCTCCAGGGCTCCTTAGTCGCAGCTTGCCAGCTCCTTAGTTACAGCATGTAGGCTCCTTAGTTGCGGTATGCGAACTCTCAGTTGCAGCATGTATGCAGGATCTAGTTCCCTGACCAGGGATTGAACCCGGGCCCCCTGCATTGGGAGAGCGGAGTCCCATCCACTGCACCGCCAGGGAAGTCCCATGATATTCTAATTTTTAAGGTCACATTGGAGCTTTTGTTTCAAATTCTTTTGGAACAGTTAGGTTTGAATGGGGGATGGTTTTACTTCTTAATTGCTTATAGGGAACAGAAATAAAATCTAGAGGGTCTGTTTTTTATGGTTACGTTTGTAGCACTTAATGAGTGCATGAACTTTACAGGCTGAAATACTTTGCTTTTCAATTACCTGAGACTACCCAAGATGAATGGGCACCAGGTTATTTTCTTAATGTCATAACTGCACCTATAGAGTAAAAATTAGAGTTATCTAGTTAAACTTGAATAACCTCCCCAACCAAAATTCGGTAATTCCAGGATAAACATCACTTTGGGGATTGCATTTTCCCATCTGTTCTATTATTGATCACGTAAACTAGAAAATATCCTAATATTGCTTTATACTACAGTATGTGTGGGCTCCATACCTATTTTAATTCTTCGAATGAATTATATATTAATATATTTATACATACTACATTAAAAAAAAGGATTGGGATAATATTATCTGTATATTTTATGGATCATCATATGGAGTCAGGCAGAGGTGGCATCATTTTGTTCATCAAAGCTGCTTGTAGAAAGTGGCAGAGTTTGAGGTGGGCTTCTAGGGTGAGCCAGCTACGAAAAAAAATAAAGGTCCCAAGTATAATATGAATTATGTTCTTGCGGCCAGCACAGCTCTTCTCCTTCCTCACTAACAAAACCCAGAGTTTATGCAAGGCAGCAATGCATCTGGTTTCTAAAAACCACTTTTTCCCAGCTTCCCTGATGTTATCCGAAGTTCCTGGATATCCCCTGTTTAAAGAGATGAAGGGCAGTTTAGCTAGCACACCCTTTTGCCCTTTGCCTTCTTATCTTGCCTACAATGTGGACGTGAGGCTTCAGGAAGTGTTGATATTCTGCACCGTAAGGATAAAAGCCACATATTAAGGATGGAATAGAGGTGATTACACAGTCAAGCTGCTGTACCCGTTATGCACTGCCTATTTCCCAAGGCAATATGCAGAAAAGAAAAATAAGGCCTTACTTGGTTAAGTCACTATAGTCAGATTTCTATTACGAGTAGCCAAATGCAAAGTCTAACTAATACAGTTGCTTCAGAATTAAACGAAAAAGGAAGTCTAAGGAGTGGGAAAAGTCATTCCATGTCTAACACCAGTTTTTCCTAGATATCCTCTAGTAAGTGGATTTTGAGGAGCACAACATATGGCATAGGTCTTATGTGTGATTTTTGATGTCATCGCTCAATATATGGGTTTATTGTTCATTATATTTTTAATTGTTTCCACATTACCCAACCCACTATAGTAGTTATGGGGTAGGGCAGGGATAAAAAGGATCCTAGAGCTAAACAAAGAAAGGAAGTGAGGGTTCTTCCTTCTGCCCATCACAATTTATGGTATTACCAAGGATCTGGGGGTGGACTCCTATTGGATACTCCAAAAGGAGGAAAGAGGAATCCAGTCACACCTCCAAAGAAGGTCATATAGTGCCCAAGAGGACCAAGTTGATCGGCAAGAGGGAAACAAAGCTGTCCTGCAAAAGGCACTGATTCTCTCTTTTTTAAACAGTAGTTGATTTACAATGTTGTATTGGTTTCAGGTGTACAGCTTCAGATTCTTTTCCACCATAGGTTATTACAAGATAGTGAATATAGTTCCCTGCACTATACAGTAAATCCTTGTTGTTTATCTATTTTATATATAGTAGTATCTGTTAATCCCATGCTCCCAACTTTTCCCTCCCCCCACCCCACCCATTTGGTAACTGTAAGTTTATTTTCTGTGAGTCTATTTCAGTTTTGTAAATAAGTTCATTTGCATTACTTTTTTTAGATTCCATATAAGTGATATATAATATTTGTCTTTCTCTGCCTAACTTCACTTAGTATGATAATCTCTAGGTCCATCTGTGTTGCCGCAAATGGCAGTATTTCATTCTTTCTTATGACTGAGTACTATTCCATTGTGTGTGTGTGTTTGCGTGTGTGTGTACCACATCTTCTTTATCCGTTCATCTGTTGATGGACATTTAGGTTGCTTCCATGTCTTGGCTATTATAAATAGTCCTGCTATGAACATTGGTGTGCATGTATCTCTTTAAATTAGAGTTTTTGTCTTTTCTGGATATATGCCCAGTAGTGGGATTGCTGGATCATATGGTAACTCTATTTTTAGTTCTTTAAGTAATCTCCATCCTGTTTTCCATAGTGGCTACACCAATTTACATTTCCACCGACAGTGTAGGAGTGTTCCCTTTTACCCACACCCTCTCTAGCATTTATTATTTGTAGACTTTTTGATGATGGCCATTCTGACCAGTGCATTTCTCCAGTAATTAGCAACGTGGAGCATCTTTTCATGTTCCTGTTGCCCATCTGTATGTCTTCTTTGGAGAAATGTCTATTTAGGTCTTCTGCCCATTTTTTTGGATTGGGTTGTTTGTTTTTCTTGTTATTGAGTTGCATGAGCTGTCTGTATATTTTGGAAATTAAGCCCTTGTCAGTCACATTGTTTGCAAATATTTTCTCCCAGTCTGTATGTTGCCTTTTTTTTTTTTTTTTTAAATTCAGGTTGTATTTTGCTGTCTTTTTTGTTTTTTTTTAGATTTTTTTCATGTGGACCATTTTTAAAGTCTTTATTGAATTTGTTACATTATTGTTTCTGTTTTATGTTTTGGTTTTTTGGTCTAGAGGCAGGTGGGATCTTAGTTCCCCGACCAGGAATCAAACCCACACCCCCTGCATTGGTAGGTGAAGTATTAACCACTGTACCGCCAGGGAAGTCCCTGTAGGCTGTCTTTTTGTTTTGTTTCTGGTTTCCTTTGCTGTTTGATTAGTTATCATTTGTTTATTTTTGCTTTTATTTCTTTTGCAAAAGGCACTAATTCTTAACAAGGGAATAAAGGAAGGGAGGACAGTGCTGGGGTGGGAAGACTGTCTGCAGTGGAGTTTGTGGTGTGTCTCTTGGCCCAGAGGGAGATGGAAATATAAGCTTCATAGCCAAAGAGGTCAGCAGCCCTGTGCCCCAGCACTCTAGCAGGGGTGGTGGAAGGATGGCTCCTTCTCACAGATCTGATGATAGAGGTGATCAGGGAGATGAGACAAACAGGGTTTGGAAGAAATCACACAAGGGCCAGCTGATGCACTGGATTTTGGTGTATGGGTCATACATGTAGGTGACAAAGAAGAAAGCTGCCAAGACCTTTTCTTATCAGCTCTGCATGATCTGACTCCTATCCCCATCTCTATTCCTATCTTTCTGTTACAGCCACACCGGCCACTTTTCAATTCCTCAGATAGACTGTGATCCCTCCCACCATGAGACCCTTGCACCCGCTGTTCTTTTTCCCTAGAGCCCTCCTCCCTTACATCCAAGGTGGGCTCACTCCACAGGTACCCTCTCCAGTTAATGCCTATTCACCTTTCAAGTCTTACCTCATCCTTTCCTAAGGGAATCTTTCCTAGATCATCCAGGCTAGATCAAGTTCCCCCCCACAGAATCTTGTTCCTTTCCTTCACAGAAGTTACTTCAGTGCAAAATTATACAAATTGTGATTATATGATTAATATCTACTTTCCCCACTAGACCGAAAGATCCAAGACAGCAGATCTGTGTCTGTTTTTGCTTACCACTATACCCCTGGTACTCCAGCACAGTGCCTGGCATATAGGAAGTGCTTAATAAATAGTTATTAATGAAATTAATAAAGCCAGACGTTCATTGCTAAAGTGGAGATGATAATCCTAGCTATCTCGTAGAATTTCTTGAAGCCTAAATAAGAAAGTGCTTTATAAAGCATAAGGAACTGTTTTAAAATTACTATTATTAAGAAAGATTCTTTAGATTATGATTTTAAATAAATACATTTGAAGAAAAGGATCCAAAGTCTTTTTTTCCCTAAAGGCTTACCTGAAACTTTCTCTTCAAGGCCTGGGTCATTACTGGGGTCAGCCCAGTTCCTGTTTCCATATTTTCTTTATTGGTAAGTGGGGTTCCACCTGGGCTCCTACAAAGGTATTGAAAATATTAGAAGCTGTGTTTTATGCTGAATTTTCAAATGAATTTAGAAAGCGTAAAGATAGGAGAGTGGATTACCTCTCTACATCGACTTTTCTGAGTAGTTTTCGCAGATCTAACTGGCTTTTACCAGGAGTACTGATAAAATATAGATACAAAAGTTAGAGCTTGCCAGATTTTATAATTTTTCCAAAGCAAAGCAGTCATTTCTATAGGCAACATCCTAGAAAGTAGTTTGTTGCATTTGTTACTATTTATTACATTTAAAAATAGCAGTAGATGCAGATAGGAGCATAAAGTGATATAGTGATTCTAATAAGTAATAGTTTTTGACTCAGTAATTACACATGTAAGAATCCATCTTATGGCAAAACTCAGCTATGCATACAGATGATGGACAAGGATGTTTACTGAAGAGTTATAGAAAAAAAAATCACAAACAACCTAAATGTCTCAAAACAGGATTTTATCTATGAAATTCACATATTAAAAAACTGCATCTATTGAAGAAGTCAAAATGATGGTTTAAACTAATTCTTAATGAGATATGGGAAAGTTCATGACATATTAAGGGGAAAATCCATATCTGTATGTATAATATGATTATACACAGGTACACACATAAACATATCATATTTCATTGATTCCAAAACATAAACATATCATGTTTCATTAATTCCAAGAAAACTAGTTTTCTTATTTTATTATTTCTGAAATTGTGCTGCTTTGAAAATTCCTGATAATATTCCCCCCCCAAATCTGTTATTAAATCAATGGTGTATTTTATAATAAACAGCATCATGAAATGGAAATAATAGAGTATATGTCCAGAGAAAGACTAGAATAATAAACAACAGTATCTTAACAGTATGTGGCTATCTCCAATGATAGGATTATTTGCATGATTTTTCTTTTCTTCTTGAAACGTTTCTGTAGATTTCAATTTTCAATGATCATATGTAACTTTTAAAGGTAGAAATAAGCAAATAATCATTATTTTAAGTAGCAGTAGAGTGTAGTACTGTGTATTTCCTTACATTAAGACATTTGTAACTCGAGTTGATAACACTTTGGACTTCGGTTTCAGGGAAACGCACCGCAGGTCAGAGACAGTAACTAGTGGATTCTGTGCCTTTGGTGATGGTACAAGCTTTAATCACAAAATGAGACACTATTAAAAACGCATTTAAAAATAGCATTCAAAATGTAAACATACTAAAACAATAAATATTTGAGTGCTGAATATGTGTAAGATATATCTATTCAATTTTTATTCCAAAGCTTCAAAGTATATCTCTACCCCTTCAAACTAATGGTTGGTAGATAAAACTGCCTAATTAAATAATTTGGGGATTTACATATTTTTTACTCAAAAAAAAATAAATACTTACCTCAGAATGGTTTCTATATTTAAGACTTATGCTTATTTTCCATTAAGGGACAACCAGGTTAAAAGCGGAAAGACCACATGTTTGGTCAATGACATCTTACCTTCCTCCTTTCATCAAAACTCTGCGTCTTCTTTAATTTCACAGTCAGTAGATCTTTAACTGTTATATGCATGGGTACATTTTTTTTTAATGGTCCAGCCTTAAAATACATGGAGAGGTTAGAATTCAAATTGGAACCAGGACATCTAGTCAAATGCAAATCCAAATCTAGTTTTTAAAGACTCTTTAAAAATTAACTTAAAAATTAACTCTTGGGCTTCCCTGGTGGCGCAGTGGTTGAGAGTCTGCCTGCCGATGCAGGGGACATGGGTTCGTGACCCGGTCTGGGAAGATCCCACATGCTGCGGAGCAGCTGGGCCTGTGAGCCATGGCCACTGAGTCTGTGTGTCCGGAGCCTGTGCTCCGCAACGGGAGAGGCCACAGCAGTGAGAGGCCCACGTATCGCAAAAAAAAAAAAAAAAAAAAAAAAAAAAAATTAACTCTTATTTCCCCTAGGAGCCTATCAAATTCTTTCCATTCAACCAAGAACAATTCTGTTTTCAGTATCCATGGATGCTAAGGCTATTGAAAAGTATTTACCAAAATGTAAGGCTTTGATAGTAAGAGATGGGCTAGTTCCTTGTAACTATGCATCTTCCTTAGGAGTCATTGTAATAGGACAGTAGATGAAGGAGTTCCTTAAATCAAAGTGAAATTTTGGGGATTTCCCTGGTGGCTCAGTGGTTAAGAATCCACCTGCCAATGCAGGGGACATGGGTTCGAGCCCTGGTCCAGGAAGATCTCACATGCCATGGAGCAACGAAACCTGTGCGCCACAACTTCTGAGTCTGCGCTCTAGAGCCTGCGAGCCACAACTACTAAACCCGTGCGCCACAACTACTGAAGTCCACATGCCTAGAGCCTGTGCTGCACAACAAGAGAAGCCACTGCAATGAGAAGCCCATGCTCTGCAACAAAGAGTAGCCCCCGCTCGCCACAACTAGAGAGAGCCCGTGTGCAGTAACGAAGACCCAACGTAGCCAAAAATAAAATTAAGTTAATTAATTAAAAAAAAATTTTTAAAGAGCAAGTTAAAAACAAAAAACAAAGTGAAGTTTTGCCTGAACTCCCTAAAAGGATGACTCAGTTCCCATAGAGGAAGGATGTATACTCAGAGAGGTATATATTAGGGCAAATATAACAATAGGCTCTGCATTTAATTCAGCCATTTTCAACCAAATATATCTGTAGTGAAAATTCAGCAGATTTTTAAATAGGGCCAGGCCTATCTTAGTGATACACAAATACTCTGGTCCCCTTGGAAGATAAGTAACTCTAATGGAGACTGGTTCTCCAGCCTAATGGCATTATACTTTAGGATCCACAAATTCTTTTTATTCTGATTCACTCACTAAGCTATCTTTGTTTTTAATTTGGTTTCCCAGAGAGATTTCCATTTTTGTAAAGAATCCAACAGGAATCTCCCACCTTGCTGGATTTCATTCATTTATCCTTGAAAAAAAAATCACTTTCATTTCTAAATCCCACTTTCGTAATCTCTCAGAGGACTGTGTCTTTAAAAATAATAATTGACATAATTAAGATATGGAAACAGAACAAAATGCAGCCCTTCCTGTCAAAGCCCTTAGCCCAGCCTTGAAAGGACACCTGGCTGTACTCCTTCACTACACACTGACCAAAACACACCTTTACTAGATTGCTTTTTACCTGATGTGCTTTAGTGAGATCAGATTTTCTGAGCGGCAAAGGTGCTGTCAGGGGTGGAGGCGGAGGGAGCGGGGGAGGGGGCGGAGGGGGTGGAGGGGGGGGGGGGGGGGGGGGGGGGGGGGGGGGGGGGGGGGGGGGGGGGGGGGGGCGGGGCCGGAGGAAGACGACTGGCTGGCTGTGGCATTGAGGCGGGCAGTACAGCCTCGGAGTCTCCAGGGGTGGTTAGAGCACATGCAGGCACATTTGTAAGTTTACCACGCATGTGACACATCTGACCACAGCTTGGACAGGAAGAATTTTCTGAGACGGCCTGGAAGAAAACGTTACAGTTGGCAACTGAAGAACAGATTTATTTGGTTCTTATGGCTGAGAGTCATCAAAACCATACTTACCATGTATTGAATGCTTTCTCAGTATACCATATGCTCCGTAATATTTTCTCATTTATCACAAGCTCATTCATTCATTCATATATTTGTTTTGTGTGTGCTATATGCCAGGCACTGTGGGTACAATATGAGCCCTGCCTGTCACCTCATCAAGCTGACAGTCCGGTGAGGAAGACAAGACATTAAACATACACAAAATACATTCAAAACAAACCAAAGTAATACTTCAATAAGAGCCATGAAGTGTGCTGTGAGCATGAATAGTCAGAGGTCTGGGGAGTGATATTTAGCCATGATCTCAAAGATGAATTTAGCTTTACCAGGTGAAGAAGGGAGATAAAAACTGGGGGAAGAGTTCCTGGCAGAGGGAAAAACACTTAATGCAACCAAGAATATAGTATATTCAAGGAACTGATAAAAAAGTTCAAGGGCCTGGAACATGACTGTTATGGGCTGAATTGTCCTGCCCCATTGCAACTCATATATTGAACCCTCAACCCCCAGTACCTCAGAATGTGATTGTATTTGGAGATAGGGCCTTTAAAGAAGTGATTAAATTAAAAGGAGCCATTAGGGTGGGCTCTAATCCAATGTAACTGGTGTCCTTATATAAAGACGAAACTTGAACAAACAGGAGACACCAGGGATGCACGTGCACAGAGAAAAGACAATCTGAGGACATAGAAGGCAAGTCGAGGAGAGAGGCTTTAGAAGAAGCCAACCCTACCAACACCTTGAGCCTAGACTTCTGGCCTCCAAAATTGTAAGAAAATAAATTTTTGTTGTATAAGTCACCCAGTCTGTGCTACTTTGTCATGGCAGCCCTAGCAAATGAATACAACGACCCTAAGAAGTAAGGGGGCGTACTACAGGCTGCTGTAACAAAGTATCACAAACTTGGTGGCTTAAAACAAAATTCATTCTCTCACAGTCCTGGAGGTTAGAAGACTGAAATCAAGGTGTCAGTAGAACTGCACTACCTATCAAGGCTCCAGGGAAGAATCTGTTTCTCGTTTCTTCCAGCTTCTGGAATCTACTGGCATCCTTTGGTTTGAGGCCCCATGACTCTACTCTCTGCCTCTGTGGTCCCATTGCTTCTCCTCTTCTCTGTACGTTCTACTCTGCGTGTCTTTTATAAGGACACTTGTCACTGGATTGAGGGTCCACCCAGATAATAAAGTATGATCTCCTCACCTCAAAATCCTTAACTCAATTATATATCTGCAAAGACCCTGTTCCCAAAAAAGGTAATATTTACAGGTTCCAGGGATTAGGACTTGGACATGTCTTTTGGGGGGCCATCATTCAGCTCACTACAGGTGGCATCTTCCCCACTTTATGGATGAAGAAACTGAGGTCCAGGTTGTGAAGTCCAGGTCATGAGGTGATTTGCCTTTCCTCCTCTGGTTAGCTCATCTTGAGGCACAAATTCTGGAAGTAGGCGTGTAATCCCAGAAGCGTCTCTCCAAACCAATGAGCACATTGTTTATTCTTTAGGTTTTAGACACTGAGAATAGGGGTCCTGCTTAGGGGAGTTCGGAGAGAGTGGATATTTATTTCCTGCCTATATCAGTCAAGAAAATAGAAACCACCCTGAGTATTTAGAAGAGGGGACATGTAATATAGTGAGTTGGTTATACTGCTGATGGAAGAGCTGAGAAGCACACAGGGGACAGTGAGGCATCCCAGAGATTAGCAACAGCATAAAGCCATGAACACCCTGACACTGCATGGCCAAAGAGAAGGACAGTATAACCAGACCTCTGGAGCTGGGTTAACCCAGAGAATCTAGAAACACGGTTGACTTACCTAGTGGGAGCTGGAGTTAGGGAGGCAACAACAACCATTGCTGTTGAAATTGCCCAACACAGAGAACAAAGGGGAAAAATACCCCATCCTCTCTCTCCTTCTAATCTCTCATCAGTGTCTCCCATTAGTCCAGCACACCAGGAGCCAGATGACATGGAGCTTGGGAAATGTAGCCTGCAGGGGTCAGCCCCCCTCCAATACAGAGCAGAGCCTCTGAAGTTTAAGGAATAGACCTGAGAGCAGACATGCCCAGAACTAGCATTAGCCTGTAGCCACTCCTCCTTCTAGTAAAAGCACACTGGGGTTCCAATGGGGGACAACCCCTTCCCTCCTTACCTAATTCTGGATTTGTTTTTCATTTGATAATACTAACCTTCAATGCTTCCTGGAGCTTGTGTAATTCACTTTCCAAAATGCGAAACCGTTGTTTTAGACTATGAAGTTCTTGGTGGCAGAAACGGGATGGAAAGATGGTGTCTTTCAATACTTGCAAACTCTGAAATTAAAAAATAATCAAGCCTGAATCCAATGAGCAATATGATAAGGACAAGAAAGTGGTTTGATGTATGTTTTATAGAAGTGAAGGCAATAACAAGGACCTACTATATAGCACAGGAAACTATATTCAATATCTTATAATAATTTATAATGGAAAATACTATGAAAAATATGTGTGTGTGTAACTGAATCACTTTGCAGTACACCTGAAACTAACACATTGTAAGTCAACTATACTTCAAGTAAAAAAAAATTTTTTTTATTGAAAAAAAAATTGGGCTTCCCTGGTGGCACAGTGGTTGAGAGTCCGCCTGCCGATGCAGGGGACACGGGTTCGTGCCCCGGTCCGGGAAGATCCCACATGCTGCGGAGGGGCTGGGCCCGTGAGCCATGACCGCTGAACCTGCGCTCCACAACGGGAGAGGCCACAACGAGGCCCACGTACCGCAAAAAAAAAAAAAAAAAAAAAATTGAGGGCAGACATGACCACACAATTTCATCTCATCTGAGTTTAGCTTGAGTGTCTGCTGACCTGAGCACACACACACATGAACACACACACCAAGTATGCAGAAAAACCATAATGCTGAAAACATGTATGTCAAACCCATACCCAGGCCATGCAGTTCTGAAACCAGTTGTATATAGACCATACTCTATTTGTCCAAAGCTTTACTGCATCTTTAAAATTGGGAAATTTGAAGTTCCAGGACGGTCTTAGCCAGCTTCTGCTAAGGGGTGTATCTGTTGAAGGAATAACCACTCTGTAGGAAAAACAAAACCAAACAAAGCAAAAACTCCTAAGTTGGAATTAACAGCCTCTAATTAAATAACAAGCTAGTTTTATAGTATGACTCAGGAGCAGAGACTATCTAAAGCCAAATTCTTCATTTACTTCTAGAATTCCCAGATTAACTTATGCAACAAATATTTATTTAGTAAATAAATAGTAATAAATAAAACAACATAGTAAACAAATAGGTATCTGAGATTTAGTAATGAACAAAATAGATAAAAATCCTGCCCTCATAGAATTTACAGTTTCATGGAAGAAAGGTAAAAATAACTAAATGAATAATATATGTGGGTTGTTAGGTAGTGAACAAATGCTAAGGAGCAAAAGATAAAGCAAGAGAGGGAATGTGAAACGTTGGGTGGAGGTGAAAATTTAGATAGGGTAGCCGGGAATGTCTCACCGAAAAGGTGACTTTTGAGAATAAAAGTCAAGGAAGTGAAGAAACTAGCAGAGCAAATATTTGGGATAAGAGCATTCCTGGCAAGAGCAATAGTAAGTGCAAAGGCCCTGAGGTGGGAGTTTGTCTGAGGTGTTTGAGGAACAGCAAGGAGGCCAGATGACTAGGGTGGAAAGATTGAAGGAAGAGGATTAACAGATAATGTGAGTCAGACCATAAAGGTCTTGTTGGTCATACAAAGGATTTTCATTTTTACTCTGATAGAGGAAGACCTTGGAGAATTTAAGCAGAGGAGCAATGCGAAATGATTTTAACAGGCTCACTTTGGCTGCTGTGTTGAAATACACTGCAGAGGCAGCAAGGGCAGAGCAGGAAGACCAGTTAGAAGGCTTCTGCAACATTCGGGAGAGAGAGGAGTCAAGGATGGTATCATGGTTACTGCTTTTTGAGGGTCTGTTTGTTTTAAAATTTTTTCTGTAAAGAGACCTTTAACAAAAAATGTATAAATATGTTATTGTGAAACCTACTGCCTTAGAGTTCTTAGATTTTAGAGTCTCTTTTAATAACACATTTAAGCCCTAAGTCCCAGAGAATAAATGATCAAACTTTACCAAAATAAAGATTTAAGTTCTAGTCATATATACCTCTTCCATCACTTAGTTACCAGGTTTATACAATTAAATCGACTAGGAAAGTAGAAAATAGTTACTGTGCACCTCAAACACAATTCCTTGTGATTTTTACTTTGTTTGAACTCTTAAGCTATGATTGCTACATAAAATCAGGGTGCTCAGTTAAAATTTAATTTCAGATAAAGGGTGAATAATTTTTTAGTATAAGTATGTTAGAAATGTTGCATGGGACAATACAAAAAAATCATTCATTGTTCATCTGAAATTCAAATTTAACTGGGTGTTCTGTATCTTTATTTGCTAAATCTGGTAACTTGTTCCTAAAATGATCAGATTTTTAATATTTTCTCTGTTCCCTATTATGCCTTACCTTTCTGGTGAGGGTGGCGGAGGGGGAGGTGTAACTAGCTTAGACTGAAAGTGAGAGGCCTCTTTTCTTTTGAAAAATCTTTTTGCTTTGGCTTTTAGCTTTCTTCTTTGTTGCTTGAACTTGGGCATGGTTTCTGTAGAGAAAATTTGTTTTTACATTTTTTATTGGGGAATAATACATATACATAGAAAATACACAAGTTTTAACTATAGTTCAATGAATTATCACAAAGTGAACACATCCTTGTAACCGCCACCTTGGTTAGGAAATAGGTCACCACCAGCAACCCAGAGTCCCCTTGAGGCAGGAGATAGATGGGCCCCAGGCTGAGCAGCTGGAATCTGTCCCCTGTAGACAGATATTTCAAGATGAAGATAATGGCAGGAGCAATAAGGAGCCGAGTCCTGTTTGGATAAAAAGCTAAAGAGAACACATATTTCTCATTCTTGAGGTCAAGGAGACCCCCAAGCGACACATGTGCAAAAAGGATCCTTGGGGAGGGGGAGCCAGACCATAATATGTTCTGCTAACTCCTCAGAGACCCTTGCGCTGGAATCCATCTTGGCTAAAAGATGTGCATGCACACAGGGGAGGGCCCTGTGCCAGACCAAACATGGACTCAAAGTCAGACAAAGCAAGATGATTGGCCAGAGGTAACCCAGAACCGTCCTCATATAAGTAACATAATCCACTCCAGAAGTGTGTGCTGCTCTCTCTCTCTTGCTCTCTGAGTTCACCCGTGCTTTCTCTGCATGTATCTTCTCTCCTAATAAGCATGTTACTTGCCTCACTACTTTTTGTCTCTTTGCCGAATTCTTTCTTCAAAGCGGACAAGCACCAGGGCAGTGCTGCGGTCAGTGTTCAATCCCTGGTCAGGGAACTGAGGTCCCACTTCAAGCCACCGCAGGCTGGAGCCACCTCATAGCCACCCAAGATCACCCTAAACTGGAGGAAAATTTAAACCCAGATTTAAACTATCTCTAGAGATACCTTGGCTTTGGCATATTACTCTCTAATTTTGTTTTTGTTTTGCTTGTTTTGCTTTTCTTCATTAAGTCAAGTGAATTTCCCTTTCTTTATAATGAAATCAAGCAGGACCTTTCAGGGCCTTCCTAGTACAAAAGCCCTTTTTGTTCCCTTTCTCTTGTTTGTAGAAAAAAGACTTGTCTCCTAAGCCTTCCTCAAGTTCCAAAGAGCAGACTCAAGCAGTTACTAATTAGAGAAGTGAGGGAATGCAGAAACAATGATAGGTTAAACAATAGTTCAGAGATAAAACAGAGTCACAGGACTCCTAGTTCCTCCTCAAACGGATATATATATATATATATATATATATATATATATATATAATGATCTGATGCATATCTTTGTGTTGTCCTGCAGAATCTAAGACCACACTCCCCAGGTAAAAGATGGTTACTACATGCTGACCACCAGCACTTAGACCCCAGACTGGTTAGAACCATAAATGTTGATGATTAAGATTCCCCAGCTATCACCCTGTTACCTTACCACTAACCAAAAAGTTGAAAGTCCACCAGCTGATCAGGCATCCTATTACCCTCACCCCTAATGCTGCCTCTAAAAATCCTTGCCTGGGCTTCCCTGGTGGCTCAGTGGTTAAGACTCCACGTTTCCACAGCAGGGTGTGTGGGTTCGATCCCTGTTCTGGGAACTCCCGCATGCTGTGCGATGCAGCCAAAAAAAATCCTTGCCTGAAAGCCATCGAGGACTTTGGCGCTTTTCAGCACTAGCTGCCCTTTCTCCTTGTTTCCTTCACCACAACCTGGTGTCAGTCGATCAGCTTTGCTCTGAGTTGGGCAAGTGGACCTGAGTTTGGTTCGGTAACAGTAACAGAGAAGATGGCTACAGCTGGGTTATGTCAGTTATTAAAAGGAAGTAAATTTCTTTGCCGGTAACATTTACTGAGATTCCAATGTACAAGGTTGAGTTGGTAGTGAAAGAAAAACAAAACTAACCATTTATATAATGCCCATTTACTTTTAGACGCCTTCACATATATTTTTTCAGTGAATCTTCATTACCGTGCAAGGTATTTTTCCTGAGGAAGAGGATTTTTATTCCCATTTTTACATAAGAATAAATTGAGGCTTAGAAAGATGAGATGATTTATCCAATGTAATGCAATAAAGCATTAAGTCCAGATTCGTAAGTCTCCAAAGACCACTTTCTTCCTAATACACTGTGATGCAATAGTAGAATAGGTGATATACAACATAATAACAATTACCCCAAATCTAAGACATGGGTGTTTCAAAACATTTATTTTAAAGCACTTTTAAACACTAACTAGTATATTTAGATTTTAACCCAGAATCCTTTTCTGAAGAAAATTAAGTCAGAGCTGGTTTGATGTGAAGACGCGCTTTGCCGGTTTCAGTTTTTGCTACCTGAGGAACAAAGATGTCCTTATTCAAGTAGCAGAACTAAAAATGGTCTCAAGGGCTGGGCCTCCTTCTCTTCAAACTTACATTTGAATAGGAACAATTGGTCTTTAAAATACACATTCATTCCACTTTTGTTCACCCTGTAACCCTCCAGCACTTGGTATGTAGCTCTATGCTTGCTCAGCTCTCAGATTCCAAGGGCTGAAGAACCTCCCCCAGCTCCAATGTGGATAGTAAAAACTAAGAAATATTTTAGTTCCAAGAGCATTCGACTCACAGAGGGCACCCTCCATGGCAATGGGTGACAGAACGTATATCAACAACTTGTCTAGGAGTAAAGTTTCTTGATAGCATCTTATTTAACAAACTGCCAGACCTCAAATTAACAGCGTATTTCTTAACTGTTCTTACAGGCTTGGGAGATATACCCCAAGATACCTGATTTCACCTTTATTGTATCACTTTTCCTTTCTACTGAAATAATGAATAAAGGCTAAGTGGGGATTATTAAACACAAGGGATATCTACAGGATTAAAAAAAAAACAACCACAAAACAAAAATACTCTGAATGAAGATATTTAGGAAAGCCTCAGGAAGCAACAAAAAACTTATGGTTGCTTGGAAAAGAAATTAAACCTCATCAAATCCATGGCCAAGACTATCTGTCAAGAAATGTCACTGGAAACCTCTATCCAAGGCCCAGAGTTCACTGGTTAGGATCCCCAGAATCCGAGATTTCCCCAGTAACCTTCCCTTCCTGCCTTCCATCTGCCCCTTCACAGCCCTCCCCCATTCTGCTCCTGTTCCCTCTCTCACCTGCCTTGATGTCTTTTGTTAGAGAGCCAACTGACACAGAGAACTGGCCTCCAGCCTCCCTTTTTCCTACATTCACCAATCAATCCCTCAGTTATGAAAACAGACTTTAGAAAGGAGCTGGATGTTCTGGTTAAACTCAGTGGATTGACTCTATACCTTAACCTCCACTCCAGTGGTGTGTTGGGATTAGCCCTGACTTATACATTTTTAGGAAGTCTGTGAGCCAGTTGTTAAATAAATCTACTATTTAAATTAAGTTATATAAACTTACAATTAGGTAATTTATATTTTAAAAGATAATCAATACACAAAACTCACCACTCCCTAATGATCTTACTATTATGTATGCTCTTGAGGTTTTGGTTTTTTTTTTTTTTACCTGATTGTATCTATACAGTGAAAATGCTTTAGAATGGTGTATTATTGCTCATTTTTTTCCCCAACTGCACATTCAGTGACTTCACATTGGAAACTTGAAATTGCCCATGATGGGAGAATTTACACCACGGCTATTATAAAACACTACAGATTAAGGCTTGGTTTATTATCTTGTTGATTGTTAAGAAAGTGATGAAAAGAATGTTAATAGTGCAGATTAAACTTAAAAGTGTATCTTGTCTGTAGTTACATTGTGAATAGCACAAAAAAATTGAGTATTATTCTAGTATTTGAAAATGATTATCTGATTCATCAGAGGTTGCTTACTGAAATGAAGTTCCAAAATAAATCTTTGTGTTTTGCTTTTGTCTTACTTCACAGAGTAAATGAAAATATCAACCAACATTCTTATCAGGACTAAGCTTGTTCATAAATTGCAACCACAGGTTGGTTACAAATAAAAGAAGTCTATAAAAATCAATAATAGCATTTTGTGAGAATCAACTGGCTATGAAATTTATAAGAGTATTATATATTTTATCACTGCTTATAATAATGTTATATACCATAACAGTATATAATATCAGTAATTTATAATAAAATTATGTATATATATTTATAAATATTTATTAGCACACTACTGGCGGAGCATCATGAAAACATCATGAAAAAGGCAGTAAAGGAATAAAAAAGGCATAAACGCACAGGACGAAGAATGGGAGCAGACCCTATGATAGATGATAGATGTGAACTAAATCATCTACAAGTAGTAGTAACTGACTTGGCAAAGCAGAGGAAAGCTGAGGCTTGCCTGCCTGGTAGGGAAGCCAACAGGAAGCAAGACCATTCCCAGAACTCTGAGAAGATTCGGGACTTGAAAGCACCTAGTTCCTTTGAAGGTTTGGGGTGGGGCTTAAATTAGATTGATTAAAAGTCTTTATAAGAATTGGATAGGCCTTTGACTTCTGCCCTCCCATACTTACAGCCAGGCAGTGTCCTGGCTTTCATTTCATGGACAGGTTTATTCTCTGGAGAAGCTGAACCTAGAGGTGCTGAATTTGGGTCACCAAGCATAGCAGGATCATGTCTCTGTCACTATACAGAAGATAGGGGATGATCCTAACTGAAAAGTGAGACTTTCAATCCCCTTCCTCAGCTCCGCTCCCAAAATACAGGCCACCAAGTTTTTTGTTTTTTTTGTTTTTTTTTTTGGGCTGCGTTGGGTCTTCGTTGCTGCGCGCGGGCTTTCTCTAGTTGTGGCGAGTGGGGGCTGCTCTTTGTTGTGGTGCGCGCACTTCTTATTACAGTGGCTTCTCTTTGTTGTGGAGAACAGGCTCTAGCCGTGCGGGCTTCAGTAGTTGTGGCACATGGGCTTCAGTAGTTGTGGCTCACGGGCTTAGTTGCTCCGCGGCATGTGGGATCCTACCAGACCAGGGTTTGAACCCGTGTCCCCTGCATTGGCAGGCGGATTCTTAACGACTGCACCACCAGGGAAGTCCTACAGGCCACCAAGCTTAATTCTCAG